AGGGGCAGCCATAAGTCTCGACCGCAAGTGGGAAGAAACCAACGTAGGGGGCCCGGTTGCGGTAGTGGTAGATTTTCTTGTCAGCTTGTTCGCAGGCCATGCACCTCCGCCCCTTCCGTGCATCCGGGTCCCGGCTGCTGATGGGGTCTGTGACTGTGACGTCGCAGATCCAGACGGCGCCGGAGCTGCGGTCGCGGATTGCTAGGTCAGCCTTGTGGCCGTCTACTGGGCTGTAGGTGGTTGTCTCTTTGGTGATGATGAAATCAGCATCCCGGGCCATCCGGATGCTCTCATCCTGCAGGGTTTCGTGGGTGTCTGTCCGCCCGTGCTCGGTGCCACATCGAAAGAGGTAATTGGGCAGCCGTGTGTCGAGGATTTTGAATTCCTTGGCACAGTTGCAGATGCGGGGGGCTGGGAACGGCAGGCCAAGGCGAAAAGCGATGGCGATGGCAAAATGTGGGGCTTCGAGACGGAGGGAAGGGAAGATGGTAATGGCATGAATCCAGTCACCTGCCCCATACCCGGCCAGGGAGAAGAAGCGTTGTGTGTGGCCGGAGTACGGGTTTGGGTCCATTATCCGTGATGCGGTCACTTGGTCAGCGTATCGCCTGGCCTGGACCTCGAGGGACAGGCGGTGCTGGAGAGGGGAGCCCGAGGGTTCACCTCGCTTGGATTGGAGAAGCTCCAGGGCCCGCGGAGGGGGCGCGGATTCACACCTCGCCAGCGGAGTATGCATGTGGGTGGGGCTGGCAAAGGGAGGTGTGAGGTGACGAACCGCGTCGGCCAGAGGTCCTGTGGTCGCTGTTGGGCGGGCAGTAAGGAGGCCCTGAGCTTGGGTGACGCTGGTAAGAAAATCCGGATGCCTCTCAATCGCTGGGTCGGTGAGGCCCAGCCCCCCAAGAGAGGGAGGGAGAGAAGCTTGGGCCCAGGTGCGCGCCCGCTCCGACTCGCCCCGTGGTGGCTGGAGGTCGCAGGCGCGTAGTAGAACGTGAAATAGCTCCCTGCCCCACTCGAACCAAGCCTCCAAGGGCAGGTAATCCAGGGGGGTGGTGTGGGTCAGGTATGAGACGCGCCTGGACACGCAGCGTGTGAGGAGGAGGGAGGAGGACTGTGGGTCCATCGTGGCCAGTGTGGCGAGGGGTTCGGCAAGCGCGGCCAGCTGGGTGCGGAGAAAACCTGCTGAGCCCTCAGGTGTGCCTATAAAGCTGCCCAGCACGCGCACCCCTTCGCTGTTGAAGGGTATGTCCGGCGGGAGGCAGTCAGGCACGGGGCGTTCGGTGGACCATGCCGTGCACTTTGCGGGGTTGTGAGAAAGGCCGATGCCTTCCATGCCGGAGGTGAAGTCCTGGAACGCCGAGGTGCAGGCACCTGGGTCACCCACGAAGGTCACATCGTCCGCGTAGGCGAGACAGAGGACCTCGGGGTGGTTTGCCGCGGTGGCCTGGAGCACAGGGTGGATGGCTGCCGCGAAGAGCAAGGGGCCCATAGGGTCTCTTTGGCGCACTCCCCGCGCGCTCAGTAGGGGTGGGCTACCGAACTCCGCATCGAGGAAAAGCAGGGACGGTGCCCCATACGAGAGCTGGATAAACGGTAGGAGGTGGTGTAGGGGCGAGTGATGGATGGCGTAGATGAGAGCCCCGCAGTCGACATTGTTGAACGCGTTCGTGAGATCGACCTGCAGGATCAGCGATCCCGTGTGCGCGGAGGTGAAGCCCCTGGTGGCATGTATAATTATCTCCCCTCCGCTTCGGATTGCCACCCCGAATTGGTGTGGGAGAAAATGGTCTTGTGCTGGTTGTGTTGAAGAGACGAGTGCTGATTTAGCCGCTACTCGATGCAGGCACTCGCCGATAGCGATGGGGCGAGTACCTCCATCTGGTTTGGTGAGTGCCAGGAGGTGTGAGGAAGTTAGGAGCGGGCTGACCTTGTGCAGCAGGTTACCATCGAGGAGTCGCTGGATGAGCTCGTGGAGGAGCTTGGCGACGGAGGGGTTGGTAAGCAAGGCATCGCGGAGGTGCTCGAAAGTCATTCCCGATGGCCCCGCCCCAACCCCATTTTCGCAGCGTGAGAGGAGTTTCGTGAAGACGTCGAAGTCGATAGTGGGCGGCGTGTAGTCCTCGCCCAGCTGCGGCCAGTTAAGGTCTGCGGCTAGCGGGGGGGGTGTTTTGACTTCAGCACCTCCAAGACAGCGGTGGTGGACTCGCTGACTGGGGTTGAAGTCAACGCGAGCAGGGCCCCTCGCAGGCTGCCACGTCGCACCAACCCCTCGGCTCGGGATATTCTCCCGAGGGTGTCAGGTTTGTGGCGGGGTGGGGGTGGCAGGGTGACAGCAGACGCGGCTGCGTGGTACAGAGCGTCCCACTGGCCCGCGAGGAATTGTCGGAGGCATTTTTCTGCCGCGGGCCAATCAGGACGTCTTGGTAATGGTAGGCAAAGGGTGAGACGCGGGAGAAAAAGTAACAAGATCCAACCCTCCGTGGAGGTTGGATTTTTTACGAAGAAAAGGACGGGTGTCAGCAGGGCGAGCGCGAAAATTTGACGAATTTGGGGAGGTAACCGGCGGGAGAGTGGGGGTTGGGGGGTGTCGCATAATATCGCGATGTCCCAGCTGGCGATCCCGACGAATCGAGAGGCGTCGCTCGCCAGCTCTTCTGGGGACAGCTGCGAGAATGACTGGGGATGGGTGTCCAGCGGTACACAGGCATTACGCCTGCTGCAGGACCTGCGTCCCCCAGATCTGGGAGTTGGGACAGCAGTTCCGTTTCTGGAGAGCCTGTGAGTCTCCTCGTCTCGCTCCTCACTAGACGCGTCTGTTGTAGATTCCCTCTGCTCCCCAGGTACATAAGTTCTGTCAGCCCGCTCCTCCTCACTAGTAGTTCCTTGCAATCCTATGGCTGCGAGCTGGAAACCGTTCAGCGGACCCCCGTCAGAGGACAGGTCGCTTTGCCTGGCTCGCCCGCGTCCGTGACCCCGTGCTGCTTGCCCAGAGTTTCTCCTGCCCCCTCCTCCCCGAACTCCTCTCGGGGCTGCCCTGTCCGCCGTCTGTCGTTCTTGTCGGGTCGTGGCTGAGCGCGGCGCATCTCTTCCTGATGGACCAGCCACTGGGGCTCGAGCTGGGCCGGCCCCCGCGTGAGCGCTCCGCCGACATGGAGAGCACTGGGGAGAGTGTGCCCCCCCAAGGCCCCAGCCTGGTTGAACCGCGATTGGGAGTGCGGGCTCTCCGTTCCCTCGCCTGCCCGTCAGCAGACCCCCGAGCGGATGCGCGGGCGGTCGGGGAGTCGGCCGTCCACCCCGCGGCGTCGCGAGGAGAAGACTCCCGAGCGCGCCCTGGACCCTGACCGCGGACCAGTGGTGCACGGCGTCCAGAGCGCGGCGGGTCAGCAGCCCCAGCCACAGCCCCCTCCCTGCCGGGGGACACCTCAGCGCCGCCCGCAGGTGCAGCCCCAGCCACAGCCCCCTCCCCGCCGTGGGACACCTCAGCGCCGCCCGCAGGCGCAGCCGGCGCAGCAGCACCGGACACCGCAGGCGCAGCGCGGGCGTTCTGGCCAGCACCAAGGCTGGAGGGCCGGCGGGGGGAGTAACCGCGGATCGGCTGCAGAGAGGCGTTTAGGGCGGGCTGCCACGACACTCGAGAGCCTGTTCTGCTCTGTCGCCCCACCGCAGCAGCCAATGGAGTATCCCCCCCAGCCTCCGGCGTCGCAGCAGTATCACCAGGTGCATCAGCGACAAACGCATCTCCCACCGCAGCAGATGTCAGCGCTGGCGGTCCCGCCGCGCAATGCGGCGCTTCCGCTACTCCCACCGTAACAACAGCCTCCACCGCCTCTTCCGTCCACTCATCCTCCGCCAGACTTCCCCCCTGCCGCTCCTTTCCTTCCGCACCAACCACGAGTGGTGCCGCACCAGATGAACGTGCAGCCCTCGGAGACTCTGCCACGCTGGCAGCTGCCGCCCCTGGAGGCATCCGTGGTGGGTTGGTCCGGCCGTCAGCCGCCAATGGTGGTGCCAGCGTCCTTCGGCGATATGGCGACGGCGCCATTTGTCCCCCCACGTCGCGCGCTGGAGTCGTCAACTGGAGTTGAGGGGGGGGCAGAAGCAGCGGAGATGGGGGGGGCTGAGTCCACGGGTGAGGACTCGCCCCCTGGGGACCAGGGGCGGCGTCGATCGGCTGGGCTGCGGATGCCGCAGAGAGCACAGCTGGAGGGCCTGCGTGGGAGGGAGCGCCTGGCGGAGACTGCGATCCTAGTCGCCACGCTTCGTCGGCTCTGGCACGTGCAGCGGGCGATGGGGTATGCTGTGGAGATGCTGACAGACTCGCACTCCGTTTTACGGAGCTCAGCGAGCCCGTGCAAGATGCCTCATGATCCTCTCCACCGCTGCGCGATGGCTGCAGCTGATCTGGCTGTCGTGTCAACGCGAGTGCAGCCTGCGCCCGCCCCGGGAACCGTGTTGGACCCGCGCCTGCTCGCCGTGATGCGGGGAGTATCGGCGAGCGTAGACTTGGCTGCAGCTGTAGACATCGTTGGCGGCGCCGTGTCAGCGCTGATGCTCCTGGTGGACTACGTGAAGGCCCTGCTAGAGGAAGCTGGAGCGGACCAAGTCGCGTGACAGGCTCCCGTCGTGTATAGGTCCTTGTTGGTGAAGTGCGCCCCAGCGTGAGCGCTCTGGTAAGCTCGGTGAGGCTCTCCAGGCTGGCCTGCTGAGTGTAGCGTGGGCGGGATGTAGGCGCCGTATTTGTGTCCTTGCTGTTGTCCTAGTGGATATTATATCCTTGTGCGCTTGCCGTCCCCTCACGCGCGGCCGGAGGCCGCTGACGCGAGCCGCCACCAAGGGTGGGAGAAAATGAAGAGCAGAAAATTAAACAAGGAGAATGAGCTAGGGAGAGGGCTTAAATAGCTAGGGAGGGACTCATGCTCTCTCTCTCTCTCTCGCTCTCTCTCTCCTCTCTCTCTAGCCGCCACCAAGGGTGGGAGAAAATGAAGAGCAGAAAACTAAACAAGGAGAATGAGCTAGGGAGAGGGTTTAAATAGCTAGGGAGGGACTCATGCTCTCTCTCTCTCTCTCTCTCTCTCTCTCGCTCTCTCTCTCTCTCTCTCTCTCTCTCTCTCTCGCTCTCTCTCTCTCTCTCTCTCTCTCTCTCTCTCTCTCTCTCTCTCTCTCTCGCTCTCTCTCTCTCTCTCTCTCTCTCTCTCTCTCTCTCTCTCTCTCTCTCTCTCTCTCTCTCTCTCTCTCTCTCTGCCCTCTCCACTCACCTCATTTTATTTCTCTCTACCTCTCCCTGCCCTCTCCTTCCCCTTCCCGACCTCTCTCCTTCCCCTTCCCGCCCTCTCTCCTTCCCCTTCCCACCCTCTATCCTTCCCCTTCCCACCCTCTCTCCTTCCCCTTCCCGCCCTCTCTCCTTCCCCTTCCCACCCTCTCTCTCCTTCCCCTTCCCGTCCTCTCTCCTTCACCTTCGCCACCTCTCTTTCCTTCCCCTATCCGTCCTCTATCCTTCCCATTCCCGTGGCTGCAACTGCGGCTGCGGCGGCTGCGCTGGCGGCTGCGCGCGCGCGAGCGGGCGGGCAGCAGGCGGGCAGCCGGCGAGCAGCGGGCGGCGGGCAGCAGGCGGCGAGTAGTGTGCGGCGCGCAGCGGGCAGCTAGCAGTGGGTGGCGCGCAGCGGGCGGCAAGCAGCGGGCGGCAAGCAGCGGGCGGCGCGTAGCGGGCGGCAAGCAGCGGACAGTGGGCAGCGCGATCAGCGGGCGGCAGCGGGCAGCACGAGCAGGGGACAGCGGCCAGCGGCAGGGAGCAGTGCGAGCGCGAGCAGTGCGAGCAGCGGGCAGCATGGACAGCGACCCGTGCAAGCAGCAGGAGGGCTGGCTGCGATGGGAAGGGTGGGAGGACGTTACGGCGTGAAATCACATGCTACGGGCGATTTTTTTCGCCAGACGACGCGGCTCCAAGACGACACATCTTAATCGTGGTTTTATAACAGAACAATGTCATTCCATAGCCCCCGGGTGTTGTCCAAAAAGTGCCACTAATTACGCCCCCACTAAATTTTGCATCAAAATTTAGTGCCACCCTAGGGTGTTTTATCCGGGGGAATACGGTAAGCCATGAACCTAATGCAAAAGATTACTAACATAGTATCGTCACGACAGTTTTACACCGCTTTGAAGCAACACCTAGCATGAGCAATCAAACAGTACAAGATCCATGTCATCGCAGCCATGCGCAGCAAACAAGTGCATCAGATCTGAATCTCCAAACCCTATGATGACTTGGCACTCCCTCATGTTGCCGATGCCGCCCGGGACCTTGGTGACGTCATCTGGTACCAAGTACAGGTCATCTAGGCACACACCAGCAGCAGAGGGAGCTTCCAGGTGCTGTCCGATGGCTGCTGTGTAGGTATCCGGCCATGGATCCATGAAGCAGCCATTGATGCTGCTTATGTTACTTACGATGCTCATGCTGCTGCCACTGCTCACCATGCTGTTGTGCCCGTCTATAGGGTCCGTAGGGTGGCTCTGGTCAGTCCAATTAACCCCATTAATCTTGTTAATACGGTTTACCCGGTTAATAGGGCCAATCGTGCGGCTGTTGATAATGACACCATTGTCAGTGCAGAGTCGATTGCACAGTTGAGGGAGACTGCTGCTGGTGCTGCTACAGTAAGTCGAGAGCCTGCTGCTCCTACCATCAGACTGCATCTTGCTGGTGTTGGTGCCGCAAGCACTGCTACTGTCAAACCTGCTTATAGGGGGTACAGAAAACAGGCTGCACTGTTCCGTGTCAAACTCCACTGTATAGCCTCGGCAGCTGATGGTACGGCCGTTGCTGCTTCCCCCACCACCCACCAAGCAGCCAGTTTGCTGCTGCAGTTGCTGTTGTGGCGGCTGGTAGCACTGCTGCAAGTACGCTTTGAACGAAGGCAGTTGGTACTCCTGCACCCCTTGACTCGGTTTCTCCTGAGATTGAGTAGATGCTGACCTCTGCCCATACTCCATCTCTTGTTGGCCGGCCCCTTGTTGGCCGGCCCCATATTGGCCAGCCTCGGCACAACATGCTGACACGGCAACGCAATTTGTTGCAGTGGCTACACATGCCGATGTGGCAGCACCATTGCAAGCTGACGTGGCGATGCCATCACGTGCTGACATGGCAACACCATCAGCTGGCCATAGCAACGTGTTGCTTCGCTGCAAAGTTGGGACCACAGGAGGTTGAACGTCACTCCCCTGAGAGGTAGGAGCAGGGTTAGCAGCGTGAGCGGTTACATCAGGAGAATGAGTTGTAACGCCAGCAGCGCGAGCTGCTACATCAGGAGAAAGAGTTGTAACGCCAGCAGCGCGAGCGGCTACATCAGGAGAATGAGTTGTAATGTCAGCAGAGTGAGCAGTTAAGTCAGGGGAAGGAGTCGTAAGGTCAGCTGTATGAGCGGTTACATCAGGAGAATGAGTTGTAACGTCAGTAGCATGAGCGGTCACGTCAGGTGAATGAGTTGTAACGTCAGTAGC